GCAGGTGACAGCGAGCTGCTGCCGCCCAGGAGCCCTGCCCTAGGACACTGGGTTCAGTCACAGGCTGTCCTGGAAAAAAAGCATGTAGCTAGAAATCAGAAATGCTCAATATGAGTGGATGCCCCATGATCTGTGATAGTGAAATAAGGCCGCAGTGGGGAATGACAGCTGCCTGAGACGTAGCGCGTCTGTTTCTGTAAGAGGTTAGTGTGGCCAATTTGAAAATGGGAAAACAGACCTCACGGGAAACTGTTCTGCCGTCGGCTATCAAAGTGAATGATTAACTGGCCACAGCGTTGCTGATGGTGATGACTGTCGATACCAGGCTTGTTCGGGGCACGTGGGACAGCACGCGGAGGTTGTGTTGACAGCAGCAGATCGCAGCACACGCTGTGGCTGCCTTGGCAATAAAATGTTCGCCCTGCTCACCTTTATGTCACGTAGAGGTGACAGAAAATCGATGGAGGATTTCCATGCGTGGGAGTAACGTGGAGGCGGCTTGGATGGATGGAGGAGGAAGAGGCAGCCTAAACGAGCACCCACGAGAACTCTGGAGGGAGGGGGTGTCTCGGGACAGTGTACCCAGGATGTATGTGTGCGGGCCGAGAAACGGGGCCGGGGGACGTCCGCACCGTGATGTCCGTTGATCCGTGGGCCTCAGCGCTCACAGGAAGGCCAGGAGTCACCTCTCAGGGCGCTGCTGCCGTGACGGCTCGCAGGTGAGGAGGGCAGGGACTTCGAGGCCCGGCCTGAGTTCACGTTCTAGCTGTGACTGAGTGACCCAGGCTTCTCTGCCTTGTTTTCTGTCTGAAGTGGGGACAGGGTGCTCCGTTGCTGACATGGTCTAAGGGTGAAGTGAGCTGACGTGTGGAGAGGCCACGGCACACGGGAACTGCTCAGCCGGCGGCCTCCTCCCTCGCCCTCTCTGCTGCAGGCCCGTCTGCGGCACAGAGCTGTCCTCTGGTCGCCCTTGGGAGAGGCCCCTGCAGGCGACACGGCCCTTGGGCCCTTTCCTGGCCCCGGCAGGGCTCTTTCTGTGGAGCCGGAGTACCCCGCCATCGGGCGTCACCCCGAACTAGAGCTGCGGGGATCAGCCCTGCCCCACCCGTCGGCTCTGGTGAGGCCCCACCAGCCCCCCTTGTCTCTTCAAGTGCTGGTCTCTGTCACAGTCTCGGGACGGACAGCTTCTCCTCGGGGACGCTTTCTGTCCATCTTCAAGGCTGGACTGGTCCCTTGGTTCTGATAATGAACGGTGACCGTTAGCCTCTGGGGTGGCCGCTGGCAGGAATCCGTCCCTCCCAGTTGCTCCTGGTTGTTGCTCCCACCCATTAGGACATATTCAGGTGACAAATCAGAACGAGCACCATCGCCCTCCCTCCCAGATCTAGAAACAGCTGGGTCAGTTACCGGCGAGCAGTATGGGTGACATACGCTGTCACCCTCCCATCACCCTCTCAGCCTGTGACGTGCCGCAGCCAACACGCACACTCATCATTCTGGCCTTCTGTGCTCACGTGTTCTGCAAGGGTGCCGTCTCTGGGGAGGAGGGCTGGTGCGGAGCTGGGGTGTGGGGGTCCTG